GGGAGAGTAACTGTAAGTTACCTTCAAGGGTACTGCCCCATGCCAGAAAAGCAGTTATCCCCGGGTGTAACTAGCAGAACTGCCTTAGTGGTCATGCTATTTCCCCTGCCAGCTTCTCAGAACTAGTACAGGAGACCCTTGCCATTTGCGGGGGATATGTTCTTGAGATCCCTGCGAATGGCGAAATCCACGAATAAGGCACTGTGTTCATGAATGCCATCTGCGTTCATGAACACAGTGCCTCCGGTGGCTGGGGAGGGCATGGCTGTGCTGGCGATGGTGGGAGCACAGCGGCGGCAAGTGTGGAGGTCCCGAGGAGCTCCTGTAAGTGTATTTAAGATGCGGGTTTGGCATTTGTGAATATTTGAAACTGCGAGTGCTGAACCCGTGAATAGCGAGGGTTTCCTGTAATTCTAAGTCAGCAGAGGGCTGTAGTTTGTCGCTTGCTGGGAAACAGTGCTGCCTTCTGGAACCATCCAGTATCCATCCCCTCTGAGGAAGTGTTAGCTACTACGGGATAAGATGCATTGGTGGATCCAGGATTACAGCCCTTTCATGGCAGTCATGGATTTCAATGAGTTCTCTGGTCTTACCAGCAAATCAGTGCGTCTTCTGCCGGAGCTCTGCAAGTGCCATGTACACTGTGAGCTACCCAGCTGATTGGTGCAGGCTCTGGCTGGAGCCCCTGCCTTCACAGGGCTCTGGGGTCTGAGGGGTGAATGCCACTGACATTTGCCCTCCCTTCCTGTGCCCCTGCCCCTCCCCCCATCCTAGCTGTATTTAGCAGCAGTGGAAAGAAGGGGATGAGCAGCTCTGGCATGCAAATCCATCATTTCATACAGCTATGGAGCCCAGGGGCTGTGTGTTAATTTTGCTCTCTTTTCCTCTGCTTCTGAATTCAGCATTGGAGGGGAGCGTGGGGAAGCAAACAGGGGCAGGAGCACTCTTCCTTCCCCGGTCATGCACCGCACAACTGAAGAGAGGCATCGCTACGCTCTCCTGGATCTGACCCAAATAAGTGCCCAGACAGTGTTGCAGCCACAGCAGTTAAAAACAGTACAGGTGTTGACCTGGGGCAGATCTCCAACCATTCTTAATTTGATTCAGTATATCTGGCATGGATATGCATTTATCTTTCTGATTTTAATTTTTAGTACATCTGATTCAACTACAGACTTCATTTCTCTGCTGTAGGTGCAGCATCAGAAAAGCCTTTGGCTTAAAGTCTGTGTTGAGTTGGTTTTGACTTAACACCCCAGGTCTTTTCAATCATGTTAGATGGCAGCTTCATTGTAATGTAATTCCAGTATAACCATATCTGTAATTGTAGGGTGCTATATGTTCAGGGCATAATTTCACAAATCAGTTTTTTTTTTTTTTAAATAAGGGATTGGCCTCTTTGATGACTCCTGCAGTTTTAAACAATGTTAGCTAGTTGTCTGTAGTAAGCCTCCAGAGATATTAGGACAGAGAGAAAGAAGTTACTAATGGTAACTTTTAGTTTCTCATATATTGCCTCACACAGCTACATTTTTCCTTTTCCTTCCTTCTGCCATGAAAGTTCACTTATAAGATAGTGTTTCTGCAGGTAGAGAGAAACTGGATATTTATAGGAGTTGAGATATTTATGTCCAGTTGTAGCATTATAGATTTCTGTGGTATGTACATTCCTGTAGGCACAATTGCAGATTCAGAGCCTCTATTCTAGCACCCCTCATTTTATGGTGCTTCTGGCCCTTTTGGTGGTACCAGTCCCCACCATTCTTTGTGGATGGTGTGAATTCTCCCTCATTGCTCCGCCAGTGTGGTTCAGAGAGGAGTGGGGAGCATGCCTGCCTGCAGTGAGGGTGGGGGGCTGTGCTTGCCTACCTGTCTGGCGCAGGTGGGGAGAGGGTCTGCCTGCCTGCATGGTGCAAGGGACGGAGGACATGCACCGTGAGGAGTTTGCAGCCAGGGAGGTGAGGGTAGGGCTGTGGTCTTTGGAGGTCTGGCCTCTGTGGTGTGCAGCCCTTGGCTGCTAAGAAGTTGGACAGCCCTTTTTTTATGTTCTTAGCCCTTTTTTATACGGTGCATAGTTAACTTGTGAAATTCATTGCTACAGAGGTGGTAGTGGCAGATAACAGTCTGGTTCAAAAAGGGATTAAGACAAAATCATGTATGATAGATCTATTCTTAATAGTTGCTTAACAGAGCTGTTGGAGATGTTTCCTCTAGCATCTCTAAACCAACAATGGTGGATGCAAGGAAGGGTAATGGACAGGGCTAGATTATTCTTCCACTGTAGGAGACAGGATACTGAGCTAGATGGTGTGACCCAGTATGGCACTTATATTTTTATGTTCTTGGTCCTGGTTCCACATGATACTTACTTAAAGGAGGGATCTGTTGGAGTTTCAGAGAGAGTTCCTGGGTTTTCTCATTTGATTGTGGGTCAGCTGGGATGGCTTTGAATACTTCTTGGGTAGTTCTTGAATATGGGTTGGGTTTCCCCCTAGGTGTTCTCTTTCTTCCTTTAGGTTCCCAAGGCCTTCTAAGTTCTCTTGCGGTAATTTTGTGAAGGCTCCCTCTCTGAAGAGTGTCAAAGCTGTTGCATTTACTGGTGTACCTGTCTTCCCCTCTAAACATAGATATTATCTTGTTTCATATGCAGTGCTACTCTTGATCCTTACTCATCTGCCACTTAACTTATATTGGTAAGGTCCTTTTTCAACTACTTTGGAAATCAGAGGACTGTGAGCAACCAAGACTTCTTCTTTAAACTCTCTCTTCTGCCCCTAGGAAGAGAACCAAGGTGCAACTACCATTGTTCCCTGTTGTCTCACATGTAGCTTTTCTCCTGTTGCCTCTGCCCAGCGTCTGTAACAGCCAGTTATTTGCTATTGGCTACAAAGTTTCAGGAGTTTTGTTTCTCCTGATAACTTCATCATATTCTAAGCAGAACCAATGGAAGAATGATCTGGAAAATAAGGTGGGGCTTGGTTCATCATAGTTATTGTTTCAGCTGAGGCCAGGCAGTACTGTTCCATGGATAACCCAAGAAAACAGCTCTTTCTGCATCCCAGCACCTTTGCATATATGTTGCATCTGCTGTGGTCAAAGAAACCATCTGTACTGAAATGAAACTCGTTCAAAGGGAAAAAGGTTTTCACTATTAGCTTCTGATACTTTATTCCTTAACTCGTATCCATGTCATCAGTGCTGTCAATATTTATTATGCTTGAAGTTTCTCAGCCTGTTCTTGTCATTAATGAAAATGCACACAGCTGCCATTTTTTACTTGAAAAATTAGGTGTTTATACACTTGTCAGAGAACTTGCACAAATTGGGTATTTCAGATTAGTGTCACTTAAGTCACCTTATGGACTTTTGGGAACTCTTTACTCTACCTGTCACTGAAGGCAGCATTTTTTGTTGCAGTTACAGCTGAGAGAAAATTGAGTTGCAGGCTTCAACTGTAGCTCCTAACTTTATGGCATTCTACAAGGACGCTCTGTGCATTCTCATCCAGGTTTTGGGGTTTTTTGCATCTAAATAACATTTGAGTCCTGTCTGAAAATGGGTTGTTAGTCTTAAAGTTTTATTCTCAAAACCTCATTCCAGCTTCTATATTGTAGAAGTAAAAGGGCCTTGAGGCTTGAAAATAGATTAGAGTATTCATTGGAGCATGTGCTTTGTCTGCATTGTCAGTCTTTGTTTGCTTTCCTATGGTTATTCAATTTCCCGTGGCTTGTCTCTGCAATAATTCCATATTATTAATCTTCTGGTCTAGTAGCTGGGTTTTGTCACATGTTTATTGAGAACTACTATGCCATCTAGATCTGATTTGAAGAACAGTTCTATCATTTTTGTTTTAATTAAAACTTCTCAGCTCATCTTTTGGTTTGCAATGTTTACTAGACTTCCACAAGTAAAAATATGAAGCAGCTAGGTTGTGTAGCAGTAACTCTGATTCTTCAAGACTTTTGCATCTGTGGGTTCAAATTATACAGTTACTTCCACTTATTCAGACTTGTAAAGACCTTGGGGGCCAGCAAAGTGAACTGAGGTGGTTCTTCTTATATAATCTCAATTGCAGTTCCATGGTGTGGGGAGAGGTGGAGGGAAATGGCTGTGTCCTGCAAGATTATAAATGCTCAGAGTCGTGTTCTAGTAGAATGTAATTGGTAAATGCTGTTTAAGGAAAAAGAATCATCAAAAGGAATAGGTAAGGGCAGTTAATAAACAGACAGCAGTCAAAATGAGAGGTATTTGAGTAGGAGTGGCCTGTTTATTGGCTACAACTTAAACGTATGTGGCTTTTACGATATGCATGTTCTTATTGTGATTGCTTGTTGTGCAGGCTGAATCCCTTAGCCTTGTTTTTTATCTTGTTTTTTCTCCTCTTCATTGTGCGGGAAGAAAGGACCTTTCTGAAACCTGTGCCTCCTTCCACCACACTTGTGAAACATCTTGTATCCTCCTTTGTGTTTCCCTAGTGGTTAAATATGTGCCAGGCATCTTTTGGACTAGAGGTTTTAAGCAGGTCTGAATACTAAGTCAGCCTGAAACACTTCAACTTTCTGTAGTTAAGTTTCAGTACAGAGACAGTGTAATAAAAGAAGCTGCTCCATATTGTCTACCTATTCCAGTCCACAAACACACCAGTTTAAGTGACATCACATTTCACCCCACTGCACAAAAGTCAGCTTGGCCAGGAGATTTTGCCCAAATGGTAGAACCATACATGGAGCTCAGTTATGAGCTCAGCCTGTGCTGCAGGCAGCTTCTTTTGTGATTTCTGAGCATCGCAAATGTTACTGGGATGTCTTGAAAGATATTCTTTCATGATGGTGTTGCCTGCTATTTCAGATATTTGGGCACAAATGTCACAGAATGAGGAGGAAATCCAAGCACAGCTGACCAGTGGTAATAAGTGCTTTTGTGTACAATTGATTGTTCAAGTGCATAGTATAAGATGGGTTTGGAAGATATGCTGCAATAAAATAAAAAGAATCAGTCACATTGTAAGACCAATGACAGCATCAGAAAGTCCAAGTTTCCTGTTCTTACAAGATTCTGGGCAGAACCCTAAAAATCTGCTTCATTTACACTGATATATTTATGAACTGTTTTTTAAAAAACAAAATAAAAAGTGACTTGTGGCATGATTATCTAGGAGAAGATGGGGGTCAAAGAACCTGGCTAAGTTGCCTTGGTAAGAGGTCTGCTGGATGGAGGCCTAGCTCTCAAGATGCTCTGTTTCAGCATGAGGAACTAGGATCTGTGGATGATCAACTTTATGCAGCAGGTATGGAGACAATTATTGTGAAAAATCCTGATTTTTGGGCTGATTTTCCAGACTCTAGAACTGAAAACAATGTTTTCTCTAAATCAGTAAAAGAATGAGTTCTTCTGAATTTTGCCAGTAATGTCAATAAATGGTCAGATAAGTCTTGCGTGTAGATGGAAGTGTCCACTTGTTCTTCCCGCTCGCTCTTCCACTCCTCATTCCCTAAACCATAGGCTGGTAACCTTTTGTCACTGTGGGCTGCTGCTTGCAACCCAGCCCCTGCCATGGGCCTCGCACCTGCACTCCTAGAAGTCCACAGCAGCAAAAAGAATAAATTGAGCACAGAAGGCAGTTGGACCCTGGTGATGCCTTCTCTGTTGCCAACTGCTTCCCTAAACCATTGTTGCCCACAGCACAATTCACTGTCCTTCTGTTCACTTGTAACTGTTTCCCCTTCCATATTTGACCCTTCTTTCAGCCACCTTCCTCTCTAATGGGCCCATTTTATTTCAGTAGACCTGTTCTTTGTGGGTGTGGGGTATTGTTTTTGTTTTTGGAGGTTGGGTTAGTTTTGTTTTGGTAGTAGAGGAAGGGCTGTGGTTGGCATTTTGTGGCAGCTGACCATGGCATGCCAAATTCAACATGACAGGTGAATAATGAGGACATTTTTTAAATGTCTCCTGAAGTGACATTAGGGGGGAAAAAAATGTTTTTTAATTGCAGTGAATTTCTTGCTGCCCAGTTTCAAGGCATTTACCTTATATTGTGTTATAACTGGCCCACATGGCCTTTATTTAGCCTTTTGTCTACACCATTTGCAGCTTTAGCTATCTGCAAGCACATTAATGTTTGTTTTGCTAATAAATGCATTAAAAAATCTCTAATGTAAAGCCAATAAAGCAGTAGATTCAGGAGAACTATTGCTGGGATGATTTAATCAGGGATGATCCTGCCTTAGTTAAGCAGGTTGGACGAGATCACCCCATGAGGTCCCTTTCAGCCCTAGGTTTCTATGGTCTGAAGTTTGGGATGTAATCACTGAGCAGGTAACAAGTCATGCACTTCGCTTTGTGAAAGGCAAGTGGTACATGAATTCTAACCCATATTTTATACCAATCCTTAGCTTTTGTAGTGGAGAACTTTTTTCATGGCACGTTCTCCAAACTTAATATCAAAGGACTTTTATGACAAACTTTCCCCAGCCAAGATAGTAAACAGAGACTTGCAGGTCACATATACCTGCTGCTCATTGGATAAGATTTGAAAAAATAATACTTTCTAAGATTCCAATTTTCTGTTAAGAAATATTTCAGGCCACTGACATTATTGCATGTGGTTCTGTTCCCTGATCTAAATCAGTCTCGCATTACTCAGTTTTAAGTGTTGTGTGACAATTGAGAGTGCTTATTCTTGCCATTCTCAGCTGTCTGACTCTGAATTAATTATTGGACTGTACAAATGAAGGGAAATAACGATTTGTGTCATTCATTGATATTCTGTGGAATGTATGAACACCTGCTATAGGTATTAGTTAATATGGTGATTTTCTTTTTCAGAACGTGTTGTCCAACTGTGCGTGCCATCCAGACTCCAAGTTGGAAGAAGAAAATCTGAGATTATCAAACCACAGAAAAATGGGAACTGAGAATTAGAATGAATTTGCAACTTTGAAGAATAAAACATGAGGGCAACTTTGGACACACCCAAGACCAGAAACAGTTCTGGCAGGAGAACAAAGAACTTCCTGGAAAAATACATCTTTTAGGAATGGACAGTGGGCCGAGTTCCAGCGGCTGTTGTTAAAGTTAGCTTAAAGGCACAGAGGAAGCTGGCTGCTGCTTCATCTCCACAGTTGGACCCTGCTCCTGCACTGACCCATGCTGGCTACTATTATGTCCTCAACAAAGTACAGGATACAAATTTTTTGATTACGAGTTACTCCTTAGCTCACTCTTGGACATTCTCCATGTTCTCTATTTTGGTAGTTGGCAAACTATAGCCTGCAAAGAAGTCCAATCCAGCACAGAGGATTGATCTCATGAAGCTGCCCTGTGCTGCCTCTGCTCCTCAGCGCTCACCTCATTTGCAGAGGCTGGTATTTTGCATTGTCTGAATTTACCCTTGTTGCAGAAGTGCTGGGAATCTGGCAGCCAGCTGCTTCAAGGAAGGGAAGGGTAGAGACTTCCAGCCCTCAGTGATGTCCAGACAAAAGATTTTTTCATCCCCGCTCTGTTTCTAAAGAGGGAAAGTTATTTCTGCAACTGGATGCTTAAAATCTTTTTTTTTTAAATGGCTTTGTGTTTTTGTGTATCAGTGATGTTTAATATAAAAAGATACTGTATTTATTGTAACAAATCAATAAAGCTTAATAGTATAAACTGTGCCAACCTAAAAAAATGTCGTGTTCTCTCTTCCTTTATTGCTCTCTGTACAAAGTTATACTAAAAAAATTAAAATTCAAACAAAGCATGCAAGTCTGTGGGTGTTCTCTCTTTCTGATCTTTGCAATCTACCATCTATAGGTAATAGTATTCTTTGTTGCAACCACATGCATGTTCTGCTGAGAAATATATAGAAAGCAGACTCATTGTCTGAACTACCCTAGTTCTTGGTAAATATTTTATCATTCTTTTTACTTGCAAGCAGGTGTGCAAGCCATGGAGTTGTCAGCAACCTGTGTCCTGCTGTCAGTACCCAGAAGCACTCTTCACCCTGCATTTAGGTAGCCAGGGAGAGATTTCATGAATGGATGTATAGGAGGTGGGGGTAAAGATTTCATAAACATTAGGGCTGGAAGGGACCTTGCAAGATTGGATCCAGCCCCCTGCCCAAAGAGCAGGAAGTCATTTGGGGTCAAATGATCCCAGCAAGACAGGCATCCAAGTGTTTCTTAAAAGTGTCCAGAGTAGGTGCTTGCACCACTTCTGGGGGAAGTCTATTCCAGGCTCTGAGGACTCTGATGGTAAAGAAGTTTTTCCTTATGTCCAGTCTAAAACAGTCTTCCAGCAGTTTGTGACCATTAGACTTTGTCTTCCCTTGGGGTACCCTGGTGAACAGATGTTCTCCCAGTTTCTGATGCACACCCCCTATATACTTACAGGCTGCACATCAAGTCCCCCTTTGCTTCTCCAGCCTGAAAAGGCCCATGCCTCAGCCTCTCCTCATAAGGCCTGGTCTCTTGTCCTCTAATCACGTGCATGGCTCTCCTATGGACTCTCTTGAGCTTCTCTATATCCTTTCTAAAGTGTGGAGCCCAGAACTGGATGCATTACTCCAACTGTGGCCTCACCAAGGCCGAGTAAAGTGGGAGGATGACATCTTGGGTCTTGCCTGAGATGCATCAGTAGATGCAAGCCAGAGTTTTATTTGCTTTGCTGGCTGTGGCATCTCATTGGGGGCTCATGTTCATCTTGTGGTCAATCATGACCCCCAAGTCTCTTTCGGTTGTGGCGCTAGTGAGTGTAGCACTGCTAAGCCTATAAATATGATGTTCACCAGGGCACCCTAAGGGAAGACAAGGTCTAATGGTCGCAAACTGCTGGAAGACCATTTTAGACTGGACATAAGGAAAAACTTCTTTACTGTCTGAGTCTCCACAGTATGGAATTAGACTCCTTTCAGAAGTGGTGCAAGCAAATACTCTAGATACCTTTTAAGAAATGCTTGGATGCTTATCTTGCCGGGGTGTTCTGAGCCCAGCTGACTTCCTGCCCCTTGGGCAGTGGGTTGGACCCGATGATCTTGTGAGATCCCTTCCAGCCCTAATGCCTTTGAAATGTACGAGTTCCTGGGTCTTGCTTGAGATGCACCGGTAGATGCAAGCTAGAGGTTTGTTCACTTTGCCGGCTGCAGCATTGCATTGGTGGCTCATGTTCATCTTGTGGTCAGTCGTGACCCCCAAGTCGCTTTCAGTCATGGTGCTAATGAGTGTAGTGCTGCTGAGCCTATAAGTATGATGTGGGTTTTTTCTTTCGAGGTGGAGCACCTTGCATTTCTCCGTGTTAAATGCCATCAGGTTTTGATCCGCCCACCTTGTGAGCCTTTCCAAGTCGGCCTGAATTGCCAGTCTATCTTCCAGTGTGACCGCACTTCCCCATTATCCATTAATAGCAGTGTAGTTTAGCTAGCTTTTGCAGGGTGGTGGCTGCTCACATTTCTGCAGAGACACAAGTTTCTCCTGGTTGTCTGATACTGCTATGGAATGGGAAAAGCAGCACAAAGTTCAGGACACTCCTTTTCTGCTGATTGTTCTAGCTCTTCAGAACAAATTTTCATCTATGTTCTCTACCCATGAGCAGCACTGCATTAGATACATTTCATGCCTGAAGATGGCATTCGCCTATTAACATACCAGCTTTTTTGGTACCTATATTGTTGCTTGATGAGCTCTGAGCCTGTTCATCCTTGCGTGTTCACAGTACTGCCACACCTGTTTCCATCGGACTCCTCCAGGTGGTATTTTCAAAAGATGTAGTAGAAGGTTTTCTTGCCAAGCAACAAGTACAAATTGAGTATTCGTCTGTACTTGTTTTCCAAAACGGTTCATGAGAGATGCTGTCACCAGAGCATTTTATTTGAGATTATGAAAGATCGGCAACCCTGTTCACTGTTCTTTTAGGCTTCTGCTCCAAAGACTTGTGCTGTTTCTCAGCACTTCTGGAAATTTCACTGGCAATTTAGGCTAGGTACCTTAAATTTGTCCCAGTATGTGCAGACCAAAGATCCACTCACCTTTTCACCTTCTGTACATTTCTAGATTAGAAACCAGTATTCATCTGCCTCATATGGTACATAGACTTGTCCATATCCTTGTCACTAGTTCTGGACCAAAGATGCTAACTAACTTCTTTGATCTTTAAGTGTGATGATTAAGAGACAAAGTTTTTCTTTATGTAGGCTTTTATATCAAATCTGTCATTGTAGTAGCTGAGCACCCTACAATAAATAGTAGTCCAGTATATGTTTGCTAGTACTAGCAGGATTCCTCTCTCTATTCCACCCTGGAGCATGGTGTGCATGTATAAACTGTGTAATTATGGAAAGTGAATGGGAGGTCTGGGTGGTAAGTGCTTTTTTTTTTTTTTTTTTTTTTTTTTTTTTTTTTTTTTTTTTTTTTTTTTTTTTTTTTTTTTTTTTTTTTTTTTTTTTTTTTTTTTTTTTTTTTTTTTTTTTTTTTTTTTTTTTTTTTTTTTTTTTTTTTTTTTTTTTTTTTTTTTTTTTTTTTTTTTTTTTTTTTTTTTTTTTTTTTTTTTTTTTTTTTTTTTTTTTTTTTTTTTTTTTTTTTTTTTTTTTTTTTTTTTTTTTTTTTTTTTTTTTTTTTTTTTTTTTTTTTTTTTTTTTTTTTTTTTTTTTTTTTTTTTTTTTTTTTTTTTTTTTTTTTTTTTTTTTTTTTTTTTTTTTTTTTTTTTTTTTTTTTTTTTTTTTTTTTTTTTTTTTTTTTTTTTTTTTTTTTTTTTTTTTTTTTTTTTTTTTTTTTTTTTTTTTTTTTTTTTTTTTTTTTTTTTTTTTTTTTTTTTTTTTTTTTTTTTTTTTTTTTTTTTTTTTTTTTTTTTTTTTTTTAAATGAGGGCTTTAACATCCCTTGATAGAAACCGGCAGGGCAGAGAGGGGAGGGGAAGCTGGTAAAATGCTTGAGCAACTTTGGAAGCTCAGGTTTCAATGACTTTAAAGTTGACCTGTGTTTATATGTCATTAAGTATTTTTAACAGTTCCTTCCTAGGGAACCTAACTGGTCACTCATGTTTGCAGATCTTGTTCAGAACATGTAAGAGTTGTGGTTGTAACCATATGTGTCACAGCATTGCAGACATGATGCAATGCAAGACAGAGCAAGTCCTTGACCACTTAATGAACGTGGGAGCTTGCATTCTTTCTTCCATTAAATTTTGTATGCCATTGTGTTGTCTCTTTGTACCATTTACTGTTGCTTGGTAACAACTGTTACTTTTGAAAATGGTGGTTCTATTAAAAAACACTAGACAGAATCAGATAATTCCATTTGTTTTTGTTCCCTTCAGATCCAGACTTTTAATGTTGAGGCACCATGCCAGACTGTGGAAGATTTAACGAATGGGGTTGTGATGGCCCAGGTGCTTCAGAAAATGTAAGAAAACATCTTTCTTTGTTTACTTGCTTATCTATTTATTTTTGGCATGCAGAATAGATACCTTAGAAATGTGCCTAATTCATCTAAATATAATATGTTTCCTTAATTCAGAATGGAGGACTGTATTTGCTTAGCTGAGTTTTGTCACCTGGCTGCTCCTTTTATTTTAGAATGGAAATATGTTTTTAAGATGTGCAAAATAGTTTGATTTCAATATAAGTAATATAGTAGTGAGAAATAGTCTATAAATGAGATTTGATCAAAGTTAATGTCCACACATGATATGTTGCAAGTTGTGGTGGTGATAAATCTTGAGGTTGCTGTAAGTAAGTTACATATAATAACTTGCTGCATTAACATTCTTTTTAGTAATGTCAGTGGGAAAGTTCAAATACTAAACAGACTTCAAAAATGCTCTCATCCTCCACAGTCACTCTACAGATCATGGCTGAGTCAAACTGGCAAGGTCATATGCGGAAACTTAATTCATGTACTATGATAAACAGAACAGAACTATTAGAAACTGAGACAATCTAATATTATTCAAGGATGTAAATTCTAAAAATATTAAAAAGAAGGAAAACTTCCATAATTATGCATTGTCATGCATTTTGGTGAAGATTTCAGAGCCAAATAGGGTATAAGGTGCAATACACTGATGTTCCAATGTAGCTTAGCAGTAAATGTAGGGGTTTTTTAAAAGAGTCTATGTACAGTAGTATTAGCAAGGGTTGGGTGATAAGGGCTTCAGTCCCAGGTGCCCACTTGCGGGGAGTGCCTGAATAGCAACTACTACTGCAGCCAGCCCAACTCCCACCGTCTCCAACACCCATGGTGCAGACCAGTCACCACCAAGTTGGTATATGTAACTGATAGCTTGAAATTTTTTTGGATTCTGGACTGTGTTCATTTAAGATCTAATCCCCAGTCCAACAGTTGTGCCCCCTGCCGTACCACATGCACAGTAGGAAGCACAGTTGTTGGGATTGGAGATCAGATCCTGATTGTGCTCTTTCTACTTGTCAGTGCAGGAGGAGCCCGGGATCCTAATTCCAGGCTCCCCCTGCAGCAGCAAATTAAAAGCTGAGTGCTCACAGATCCAGAGTCCGGTTAACAATCAGCTGATTGTTAGCTTATTCCCTGGTACTGCACTGGGGGCTGAACTGGCCCTGGTGCAGTGTGGGGCTAACAGCTAATTGTCAGCTGGGCCTTGAACCACACCAAGGCCAGTTCGAGTCCTGAGGCCAGAGCTGACAATCAGCTAATTGTTTGCCTGGCCTGGACAGCTCTGC